AGGGCAGAATACCAGCCAGAACCTAGCCAGGCCCACCTGATTGGCTTGGCCTGGATGGACTCCACTGGGATGGACTCAGACTAGGACGGGCCAGGCTCTATGAAACTTGGCCCTGAGAGCCCATGGTCAAGATGAAGGCTGAGGGCCACCCAATGACTTTTATGGTAAACACTGGAGTACTCAGTGGTCACCACTCCAGTTGCCCCATTTAGCAACAGGAAGGCAACTGTTGTGGGAGCAACAGGTGACCAGGTAGAGCCCTGGCCGTTCTGCCAAGATCAGATATGCCAATTAGGGGGGCACCAGGTACACCATGAATTCCTCTACCTACTAGAATGTCCTGTCCCCATTCTGGGAAGAGACTTAAGCAAACTGGGGGCACAAATCACCTTTGAACCCCAGGGGACCAGCCAGTCTGACTTTGAGTGAGACAAAGAGGGGCCTGGTCCTGGAAGTCACACTTCCAAGTGAGGAAGAATGGAAACTGCACACTGCCGAGAGGTCTGAGAAAAACCCACCAGAATTCCTGGACGCCTTCCAGTCTGGGCAGAGATGAACCCCTCAGGGATGGTTACGGCCCAAATCTGCAGACAACAGGTAAGAAACCTGGGGTTCATCATCACCAAAGAACACCAGTCCCAGGGACCAGAGAGAAAAAGGATGATTTCCCTCATGCCCACTTCCAGCACCAAGCGGAAACTCTTGAGAGTTTCTCGGGGCGGCAGGCTTCTGCCGCATATGGATTCCCAGCTTCTCGGACATAGGAAGGCCCCACTATGGGGTCCTAACTGGGCCAGAAGATAGACCCCTTGAGTGGGGTGATAACCAAGACATGACTTTCTGGGAAATCAAGGCACTGCTCCAAAGTGCCCTAGCACTAGGACTTCCAGATGTCATCCGAGAATTCAATCTGTTCATTCAGGAGAGAAACAAAACAGCACTTGGGGTCCTCACCCAGACTGTTGGGCCTTGAAAGAGAGAAAGAGAGAAGTCAGGGGCACTGGTGGCTCTCAAATGCCCATTTAACCCGCTACCAAGGGCTGCTCTGTGAAAACCCATGGGTCACCATTGAAACCGTGCATGGCCTCAACCCGGCCACATTTCTACCCATAGAAGAGGGATCCCCAGACCATGAATGTGAGTAGGTAGTAGATGAGGTCTTTGCTAGTCACCCAGACCTCAAGGACTGTCCCCTCCCTAAGGCAGACTTAAACCTGTTCACTGACAAAAGCAGCTATGCCCAGAATGGGGAGACGTATGCAGAGTATGCAGTCATCACTGCCACTGAAGTAGTCGAGGCATCCCTCTTGCCCAGAGTCTGGTCAGCACAACGGGCAGAATTACATGCCCTCATTCAGGCCCTGTGCCACACGGAAGGCAAAGCAGTCAATGTTTACACTGACTCCAGGTAAGGCATCCACACTGAAGAAAGGGCCTGTGCAGGCCCTGCCCGCTTGTTCACAGTCACCCCTTGGCTCTGAGAGGATGTGGGAAAGCAGAGTAGGTACTCTAAGGAAGAAAACCTGTGGGCACAGCAGGAGGGGGCAAAGCAGAGTACCGGGGGATGGTGGCTACTCCCTGACAGCAGACCAGTGGTGTCTAGGAACTTGGCTCATACTGTTGTTACTCAGTGCCATGGTCTCACCCACCTAGGTAAAACTGCTCTGGAGACCTTACTCAACAGGTATTACTATATTGCAACTCTCCCCACACTCTGTGCTGCAGTAATCAGTGCCTTACCTACGCTAAAACAACCCCCACAGTGGCTGAAACCTGCCCCAGGGGTGCAACAGGTGGGTAGCTACCCCTTTGAGGACATAGAGGTGGATTTCACTGAAGTCAAGCCCAGTAAAGGGTACAAATACCTACTGGTCCTTGTATGTACATACTCGGGCTGGGTTCAGGCACTCCCAACTGAGATGGAAAGGGCCCCAGAAGTAGTGAGAGTCCTACTTCGTGAAATTGTTCCCCATTGTGGGATTCCACTCACCATGCACAGTGACAATGAGCCAGCATTTGTGGCAAAGATTATCCAAGCCCTCACCAGCATCCTCAAGATTAAGTGGAAACTTCACACAGCCTACAGGACACAAAGTTCAGGGAAAGTGGAGCACATGAATCAAACCCTACAGGTTACACTAGCAAAGCTCTGTCAGGAAACCCAGGCTTCCTGGGTAGATATGCTTCCCCTAACCCTGTTGCAGTCACGGTTTACACTGGGACCCACCGGTTACTCACCCTTTGAAATCCTACTCAGGAGTCCCCCCCCGGCCGTTAACAAGGTGATGGGAAACCTCAGACAGCTGGGGGAAACAAGCATGACATCCCAGCAGCAGGCATTAGGAAAGGTGCTGTCCCACATCAGTCAGTTTGTAATAGAGAGAGCACCTATCTCCCTAGCCAATCCAGTACATCCCTTCCAACCTGGAGACCAGGTCTGGGTAAAGGATTGGAAGAAGAAACCCCTCCAGCCTGTCTGGACAGGGCCCCATACTGTAATCCTTCTTACCCCAACTGCTCTCAAAGTTGCAGGAGTCATCTTGTGGGTACATTATTCCAGAGCCAAGAGGGCCCACCCGAACACATCGCTGGACTGGTGGATTACTCATCAGACCCTCGGCACCCCACGAAAATCATGCTGAGCGAGCTGAATCCTGAGAACTCATCAAGCCCTGCTCTAGTCACACAACCAGAGGCTGACTAGTCAACCCACGGCCAAAGCTTGAGGAGCCTCCAATTAATCAGCAAATGTGGACTGAAGTCTTCATACTTAAAACTATTCTGACAGCATTTGTTGTTCTACTGTTGTGCTGTCATCATTGTCGTCCCTTGAGGGACATTCTTTGCCCTTGTCTGGTGTAAAATGTCACTTTCTGTTTTGCTATTAATAATCTTCTTGGCCCTTGCCTTTGGCCCTTGCCTAATTAACATACTTCAGTGCTTCATTGAAGCCATGGTAATTAGAAAAACAAATGCTCAGTTGCTGGCCCTCCGTGGGTACAAGCCGCTAAATACAGGCACCAGGGTGTAAAGGTGATGCTCCCTAATATTCGTAAGAGAGCATCAAAGTGGGGGATGAAGTGGAAATTTTGCCCAGGATTTTGTTAGCACATAGCAACTTCCCTATTTTAAAACTGCCGCATTTTTCTGCTAATAACTGCCTCTTTCTGCTTCTGTACCTCAGCTACCTCAGCTTATTGCTTACTAGCTATAAACCTTAAGGAAAACTGCCGCGTCGTCTAAAACCTGCTGTGTCGTCTAAAGTTCTGAGTTACTTCCCCTGCCCCTTCACCTATAAAAAATGTGTACTTTTCTTAGCCAGGGTTCAGACTTTTGGCTGTGAACCCTTCTAGGCCTGCTGGCATAATAAAGTGTGTTCCTCCGTTTCCCTGAGTGCCGCTTGGGTTTCTTGTCAGGTAAAATTTTCCAAAACAGATGCAGTGGAATGAATGCAACTCACTGCAGCCTTGACCTCCTGGCTCCAGTGATCCTCCTGCTTCAGCCTCCCGTGTAGCTGAGACCATAGGTGTGCACCACCACACCTATGTTAGCCAGGCTAACTTTTCAATTTTTTTGTATAGACAAGGTCTTGCCTTGTTGCCCAAACTGGTCTTGAACTCCTGGGTTCCAGCTATCCTCCCCCTTGACTTCCCAAATTGCTAGGATTACTGGCATGAGTCACCACACCTGGCCCCAGTGTTTTTGCAGTAGCAAGAAAATGTAAGATGAATTGGAGTTTTTTAGCTAGAATGGTTTTAAGGAAGTGCCATTAGAGGGCATGAAGGGAGAGATCAGGGAACTAAGAGTGCTCTATTGTAAGACTCTTCTAGTAAAAATTAAATAGACTTTCTAGTCAAATGGATCAGTGTTATAATCCTGCCATTTAGGCCAGCACAGTGGCTCACACTTGTAATCCCAATACTTTGGGAGGCTGAGGTGGGTGGATAACTTGATGGGAATAAAGAGTGTTCTATTATAAGATTCTTGTAGTAAGGATTAAACAAGCTTTCTAGTCAAATGGATCAGTGTTATAATCCTGCCATTTAGGCCAGCATAGTGGCTCACACTTGTAATCCCAACACTTTGGGAGGCTGAGGCGGGTGGAGCTTTACTAAGAAATAAAAAAGAAATAGCCGGGTGTCATGGCACGTGCCTGTAATCCCAGCTTCTCAGGAGGCTGAGGCAGGAGAATCACTTGGGAGGCAGAAGTTGCAGTGAGCCAAGATCACACCATTACACTCCAGCCTGGGTGATAGAGTGAGACTCCATCTCAAAAAAAAAAAAAAAAAAAAAAATCTTGCCATTTATACACACCATGTAACTTCAAGCAAGTTACTGAAACTCTCTGAGCCTTAATTCCTTACCCACAAAAATGAGAATAATAATAACCATTATTGATAAAGAAAGTCGTTGTTGCTTAACTCCTCAGCATCTGCCTCCCCTTTCTTCCAGCAACATGCTTAAACTTTCATGTGGGATCTGCCTACTCCACTCAGAAAGTGCATGGATGAGATGCCATCCCAACAAGTTTGACTGACCACCTCATTGGCTTCCACAGTGATTGCCTCAGGAGTAGACATATGACCCAAATCGGGCCAAATCTCAAGACTTTTGTTTTGAGCAAATTTTTTCTGTCCACAGGCTGTGAAGCTGAGAGCTGGATATATATAAAGTTTAGAGTTGTTGTAACCCTCTTGCAATCTTAGAGGTGCTTCCGGAACTGCAAGATAGACTGCATGGAGCCTGAAGATGAAGCCCTCATAGCAAGAGGCAGAGTGAAGAGACAGAGAAATTGAGCCATTAAGGACATTGGTTAAGTCCTTGTTTACAGCAGTGCCTGTAATCAGACATTCTGGTGGACTTTTCCAGTTACGTGACTTTACTTTAATCATAAACAATTATGCTGTAATCATAAATACTTCCTAAATGCTCATAAGCTTACAAAAACAAAAATTATTTCTTGCTTATGCTCCATGGGCTACCTGCAGCTCTGCTTGATTGTTGTTTTTAATCTGGGATTTAGTAAAATAGAGCAGTCTCTCTCTAGAAAACCACCTGTTGTAACAGAGGGGAAGGAGAGTAGGAAAAGAAGTGCTGGCTCTGAACTATCTGCCTGAAGTTGCCTCCCACTTGCATATAATTGGCCAGAACAAATCACATGCTCAAGATTGATGTCACAGGGTGGACAGGGGCAGCAAAGGTTTTTGAAAAATAATAATGTAAACTGTAAGTAAATTTCCCGTTTGCTTAAGTGAGCTTGGGCCTTATTTTCTGTCACCTGCAACCAAAGGAATTTTTTTTTTTTTTAAGAGACAGAGTCTCACTCTGTCACCCAGGTTGGAGTGCAATGACGCCATCTCAGCTATAGGCATGTGCCACTATGCCCAGCTATTTTTTTGTATTTTTTGTAAAGATGCGGTTCCACTATGTTGCCCAGGCTGGTCTCCAACTCCTGAGCTCAAGCAATCCTCCCACCTCAGCCTCCTAAAGTGCTAGGATTACAGGTATGAGCCACTGTGGCTGGCTCAAGATAAATTACTTAAGGAGACAGATACCCCAATTTGATAATGTGTCAAATTATCACATGTATCCACAAAACATGTACACCTATTATGTATCAATAAAAAAAAAAATTTAGGCCAGGCGTGGTGGCTCACGCCTGAAATCCCAGCACTTTGGGAGGCCAAAGTGGGTGGATTACTTGAGGTCAGGAGTTTGAGACCAGCCTGGCCAACATGGTGAAACCCTATCTACTAAAAATACAAAAATTAGCTGGGCGTGGTGGTACATGCCTGTAATCTCAGCTAATCGGGAGGCTGAGGCAGGAGGATCTCGTGAACTTGGGAGGTAGAGGCTGCAGTGAGCCAAGATTGTGCCACTGCATTCCAGCCTGGATGGCAAAGCAAGACTCTGTCTCGAAAAAAAAATTTTTTTTTTAAGAAATAACGTAATATGAGGGTTCGGTGTCTTATGGTGATAATACCAAACTCTTACAGGCTGTGCTTGAGAAAATAAACATTTAAGAAATTACTATTCAGAAAAAGGTTATATTTGGTATAGTAAAATAAAACCAGAAATATGAGTACTATTCACTGACTCACTACTCATCAATCCATTTGTCCAGTATACCCTTATTAGCATCTACCAAGTTCCAGGTGCTTTTGGAGTAGAAAAATAAATAACATTTGTTCTTCTCTTTTTTTTTTTTTTTTTTTTTTTTTGAGACAGAGTTTCACTCATGTTGCCCAGGCTGGAGTGCAATGGCGTGATCTCAGCTCACCGCAACCTCCGCCTCCTGGGTTCAGGCAATTCTCCTGCCTCAGCCTCCTGAGTAACTGGGATTACAGGCACGCACCACCATGCCCAGCTAATGTTTTGTATTTTTAGTAGAGACGGGGTTTCACCATGTTGACCAGGATGGTCTCGATCTCTTGACCTCGTGATCCACCCGCCTCGGCCTCCCAAAGTGCTGGGACTACAGGCTTGAGCCACCGCGCCCGGCCTTGTTCTTCTCTTTAAAGAACTTGAAATACGGTCATAAACAGTGGTGAATTGAAATTATATAAATAGGTTCTATAATAGTTTTTTTAAAAATCAATAATGCTGATGATTGTGGGGGATAGGTCAGAGTGGTGGGAAAAACTATAGGAAAAAGACACAAACCTTCTGAACGGTCGGCTTCTGAAGGCAGCTGTTCTATAATTCTGGGGCAGAAGGCAAGGTACAAGGTTCAAGGGAGTGTAGGGGAATTTGTCTTAAACAGGTTTGTTTACTTGTTTACAGGAACTGACCTTTGTGCACAAGCATGACGTTCCTGAAAGGGAAACAATACATTTTAATTACCTACAGGTCGTGTTTGCTCCAGGTTTTCAGCATTGTGCCTGCACTGAATAAAAGCAAGCAGCTCCGGGTTCTCAGGGCTTCTCTCTGGTCACTAGAGCCAGGCAGTCACCTAGCTACTCTTACACTGCATACTTGTGTCTGAGTACTCATTTCATCCATCTGCCAGGGTCTGCTGGACAGACCCAACAGATGATGGCTAACATTGTCAAAATTCCCAAATTGAAAAACCAGTGCTCAGCTGGGCGTGGTGGTTCATGCCTGTAATCCCAGCACTTTGGGAGACTGAGGTAGTGAGATCACCTGAAGTCAGGAGTTCGAGACTAGCTGGGCAACATGGTGAAACCCCATCTCTTCAAAAATACAGAAGTTAGCTGGGCGTAGTGGTGCATGCCTGTAGTCCTAGCTACTCGGGAGGTTGAGGCAGGAGAATCGCTTGAACTTGGGAGGTGGAGGTTGTAGTGAGTTGAGATCACCTCACTGCACTCCAACCTGGGTGACAAGAGTGGAAACCCCATCTAAAAATAAATAAATAAATAAATAAATATCAGTGCTCAACCCTTAACTTGCTCTGCAAGCAACTGACAGAGTTGATCCTTCCCTTATTCTTTACTTGCTCTGTCTGTAACTCCCGCTCCTGGTTTTCCTCCTATGATCAGTCCTCTAGCCTCTGCTACACTGTTGCCACACTCACCCCCTGGATGTTCTCATTCAGCCATCTGGCTTTAAGCATCATCTCATGATGGCTCCCAGTTTTCTGACTCCACCCCAGCTTCTCTCTACAACTCCAAAACAGTTTATCCTATTGCCTTCTTGATTAACAAGCATCTCACAGTTATCATTACCAATCTGTACTCCAGACCCACACAGCTCTAAACCTGCACCTCCTCAGGGGTTCCCAGCCCTGTAGAGTTTACCCTGGAGTACCCCCAAGGCCAACCCTGGAGTAATTCCTGATCTCTTTTCTTCTTTCCCCAATTTCTAATCCATCCTCAAATCTGTGGATTCTTACTTTCAAAACACATCTTGAATCTAATAACTTCTCCTCTCTTTCCCTCCAGGATGTCACTTGACCTGGACTCTTAAGTAGTCTCTGCTAACTGGCTTTCTGCTTCCATTTTTGTCCTATTATTTTTTACACAGCAGCCAGATAAATCTTTAAAAACTAAGTCACACCATGGCTCTTCTCTATTCAAAACCTTCCAACTGCTTTTTTTTTTTTTATCCTCTGCCCTTACGTATGATCACGACTCATTCCCTCATTTCCCATGTCCCCTCAGCTCTCTGCATAAATATCACTTTATCAGGAAACTCTTCCCTAATATCATCTCGAATACCAGTGCCTTCTGCTTCTACCCTCTAGGTCCTATTGTATTTCTCGTTGTCCCTGGATATTACACTATGTGTTCATCTGTTTATGTTCTCCTCCGCAGGAGAACGAAAACGCACCACCAAGATCTTGTCTTTCACTAATTGTATTTTCGGGCCGGGCGCGGAGGCTCATGCCTGTAATCCCTGCACTTTGGGAAGCTGAGGGGGTGGAATTCGAGACCAGCCTGGTCAAGATGCTGAAACTACTAAAAATACAAAAATTAGCTGGGTGTCGTGGCGCACGCCTATAATCCCACCTACTTGGGAGGCTGAAGCAGGAGAATTGCTTGAACCCGGGAGGCGGAGGTTGCAGTGAGCCGAGATCGCGCAACTGTACTCCAGCCTGGGCGACAGAGCGAGAATCCGTCTTAAGCCAACCAACAAAAAAACCTTTTATTTTCAGTGCCAAAAAAGATCTGGAAGGAGGTGGGCACTCAGATGCTTTATTCACCACACTAGGTATTATTCTAACACTTTATGTATCTATTAAATTATCCCAACATATTAGATTTGCTGAATTGCTGTCCATATTTCGTAGATGTGATAGCTGAAGCACAGAATCATTGGGTAAGTTGCCCAGAGTGGCATTCATGACTCATGAATGGCTTAGGATATAAAGTAAACCCAGATGCATTCCCCTGGGACGCCCTTTCTGCTTTTCAAAACTGAAGCTTAGGCGGCGAGAGTTGACGTGGGGTTAGGGCTGCCCTCCTGGGACGGGTTGAAGGCAGGGTGAGCCTCTCGACCTCCAGGAAATCATTGCGTACCCAGTCACCAGCGTTCGAGAGCCTGTCTCAGAGAGAAGGACTGAATCCGAAGCAGGCGACTGCGCGCGGAAGCGGGATGTACTTCTGTTGGAGGGCCGGCTCCAGCGGGCTGCAGCGCCGGAGGACAGAGGGCAGCCCCGGGGCTGAGCTACTGCAGGCGGCCAGCGGGGAGCGTCACGCTCTGCTGCTGCTGACCAACTCCTCAGTCCACTCGTGCGGTGAGAACAGCTGGGGCCAGCTGGGCCGCAGGGGCGAGCCGCGCGGGGACCTGCCAGGTGAGCGCAGATCGCAGGCGCGGAGTGTGGGGACCCCGGTGCATGGACGCGGGGGCTCGGGTACCGGGTGCAGGGAACAGGGTGCGGGGCGCGGGGACCCGGGTGAGGAGCGCGGGGGCCCAGGTGCGGGGTGTGGCTCAGATGCTGGGCGCCACGGGCCAGGAAGGCAGGGGTGCTGGGAGCCTCGGGACCCGAGGAGCCAAAGGAACCGGGAGAATTGTGCCCTGTGCTTCCGAAGCGCAACTTCTTCAGTTTCGTTTTCCCGCCGCCCCTGGGGTTCGTTTCGGTTTCCAATTCAAGTTCAAAGCGAAACTGAGAGTCAAAACTAACCCGGTCCGCGCTGCTCTGGATAGAAATGTGGTCCCTCCGGCTTGCCTCGCAGACAAATCCTCGCCTGCGCGGTTATACCTGGAGAAGGCAGCCTGACCGTACAAACGTGGTTTGCGGGTTGGACACCTGTAACTCCCTTAGAAATACTCTGGGGCACTTTTTTCTTAAAAAATATATGATAATACAATAATCTTTATAGATTATTGTAGAAATACGAGAAAGAACTCACCTGTAGCTCCAACATCCAAAGATAACTCCTAACATTTTGATGCATTTTCTCCTTGTCTACTTTTTTCAATGTATGTATTTAATGTTTTATAAAAATCATGCCATTATAGATTTGTATATGCAGTATTTATTGCAACTCTATACATTGTGTTTTCATCAAACATAATCACATGAACATACTGCCCTTTTATTGTATATGTTTTGAAAATACATTTTAAATTGCTGCATAACATTCCAAACTCTGAGAGTACCATAATTATTCTCTTTTTGTGGAAAGTAGATTGTTTCCCACTAGGGGCTTTTATAAATAATTCTGATTGATGTTCTTGTAAGGAAATAATTTGACCACATATCTGATGACTTGCTGAGAATAGTTTCAAAAGGTGTGTGGAGAAGGAAAATTTTTCCTCTACCCTCTTAAATTCAGCCCCTGGGGCCTGCAAACTTAACTGACAAAAGACAGATCGACAGGAGAAAAAGCATACAATTTTATTAATCTTTTACATATAGGGGGATTTCCATGCATAGGAATTTGCAAAATAGTAGTGAAACTCAAGTGCTTTGACTTAGGGGCTTGTGAATCATATTTAACAAAGGAAAAGGGGTTTGGACTTTAAAGGACGATGAACTTGGGGAAAATGACTAGAAAATATAAGGGAAGACAAGGGTTATTTTATTAGAGTTGTTTATGCAGACTCATCCCAGTGCCAAGTCTTCATCTTAGGTGACCCTTCTCTTCTTGGTGCAGGAGATGGGAGCTTCTCACAAAAGGATATTTATGCCCTACTTTTAGGTAGATAAGAAGAGATCAGAGAACTCTTCCTGCATCTGTTGATTCTCAGTTGCCTTCAGCTCAAATTCTTATGGTATAGTAGCATGTTTTCAGGTCTGATCACCTTCATTTGGAAATGAAGGGCAACATGATACTTAATGCCAAATTGTTCTCCAGAAAAATGGTACCAATTTCTGTCTTTCCAAGTGCATGAATCTTTGGGAAATTTTAGCCTTGCATAGATTGACAGTAAATAGTTGAAAAAAATTGAAGATAAAAGGAAAAACAAAATCTTAAACGTTACAAAAACTTTACTGGTATGATGTTCTCAACTCTAATAATTCAGAGACAGGCGCCTTGAGAAAACAGTTTAGATTGGCTTGTAGGGAAATGTGATGTGGTTTTCATTTGTGAGCATATTTGGGGCCTCCATAGGGGCATATTTTTTCACTTTTCCTTGTAAGAGGATCCAGCACCTGCCTCTCACGCTCATGAGGTAGGCTGCCTTCCAATTTCCTTCTGAGCAAGGGATTCACTGCTTTCAGTGTTTAGGGTGGGAAGACTGAGTAGCAGAATGGAGGAGATCCCAACTTTTTCTGGGTCCCTTTATTTTACTAGGGTTTGCTAACACCACCATAGAGAAATGTTTGGTTATGCGTCATAGTCCCTAAAGTTTACCCCCTCCATGATGCCTACTCCTTTAAGTAACAGCCATTAAAAGATAGATTTAGGTACATTAAATGTTTTTAAGCGTTAATTTGAACATTCAGCAGTTCATGAATTGAGCAGCACCAGACCTCAAGCAGTTGGGCTCCATTGAGGGAGGTGCAAGGAGATGCGAGGGGAAACCTTTGATATGATGTTCCAGGAAGCAAGACAAAGAAAATATTTGATTGGTTAAAGTGGAAAGTCCCTCGTTAGAAGTAGTCAGCAGTTTCTGGTTTATAAAGTCTCTAGTTAGTTGGTGGTTTAGTCTCTAAACTTAGTTGGTGCTTTCTGATTGGTTAACCTTAAGTTTCATTTTCCTGGGCTATGACCAATCACTGTGAGTTGGGTTTTGGTTTGTTTATGTAGGAACCCAAGGTGCTGGAGCCATCTCAACTTAATAGCCTCCCAGTTAATTATTTTAACAGAGCTGTATCCCATAAAGACAGGGTAAGTCTTCCTGCATTAGTTTGCTAAGGATAATGGCCTCAAAAAAAAAAAAAGACAGGTTAACACACATTGAATCTACTTCCTTCAGACATTTAGCATGAACTTTAGGTCTCAGTTTAAAATACCATTGGAGGAGACAAGAAATCTGGATGATCCTTCTTTTTGAAGAAAAGTGCTGTCTTAAACTTGTTAAACTAATAATCTGGTGGTGGTGGTTGGGGGGTGTTTTGTTTTGTTTCCAAAAGAACCAGTTCAGGCATTGAAAACCCTAAAGTTTGATCTTGTGAGCTGCGGGAAGGAGCACTCCCTGGCTGTGTGCCACAAAGGAAGGGTCTTCGCATGGGGAGCTGGTTCTGAAGGACAGCTGGGGATTGGAGAATTCAAGGAAACAAATTTCACACCTAAGTAAGTATTTCAGTCCTCTCCTTCATTTATTCAATATATTTCGTACCATGTGTCAGGCACTGTGCAAGATGCTAGGATACAAAGATGACTATGACAGGCCAGCTGCAGTGGCTTACATCTGTAATCCCAACACTTTGGAAGGCTAAGGTGGGCAGAGCACTTGAGGTCAGGAGTTTGAGTCCGGCCTAGCCAACATGGCGAAGCCCCGTGTCTACAAAAAATACAAGAAAATTACCCTGGCATGGTGACAGGCACCTGTAATCCCAGCTACTCAGGAGGCTGAAATGGGAGAATAGCTTGAGCCTGAGAAGTGGAGGTTGCAGTGAGCTAAGACAGCACCACTACACTCCAGCCTGGGCAACAGAGGGGAGACTCAGCCACAGGAAAAAAAAAAAAAAAAAAAAAAAAAAAGGATGGGTGCCGTGGCTCATGCCTATAATCCCAGCACTTTGGGAGGCTGAGGCCGGCGGATCACGAAGTCAGGAGTTCAAGACCAGCCAGGTCAACATGGCGAAACCCCATCTCTACTAAAAATACAAAAAATTAGCCAGGCATTGTGGCACATGCCTGTAATCCCATCTAGTAGGGAGGTTGAGGCAGGAGAATTGCTTGAACCTGGGAGGCAGAGGCTGCAGTAAGCCAACAGTGCACCACTGCACTCCAGCCTGGGTAACAGAGCGAGACCCTGTCTCTAAAAAAAAAAAAAAGGCTATGACAAACACAGTTCCTAACCTGAAGGCCTGCAGAGTAGTGAGGGAAGAAGGCAGGGAAAAAACTGCAGCACCAATTATTATTTAATTAGAGCAGAGTCAAATGAGCTGACCCTTTGATCTTAATCTTATCTCTTGGAATATAACTGTAAGGGCCCATTTAGACCTCCAGAATGGGTATAAAGACTAAAGTGGGTGTAAAGTAGAAACATTTCAGCTGTAAAAGATGCAGACATAAATCTTACCTGAACTTCCTTTATCACACTAAAACAGAGCCTCCTGAAAATACAGTTGCCAATAACTTCCTTGAGTGAGAGTTTCCTGGGTATTCGGTTGTCATGAAGACAGACCACCCATTACCATTACCATCAAAAAGCCCAATAGAACCTTCTATACTTTCCCACTGAAGTCCCCAAACCCTGCCTTTTATTAGGTTGACATATATAAAACTTTACTTTGGGATATTCTGCAATAGTAAGCACATTTGTAAATAACCTTTGTATTTTCTCTTGTTAATCTATTGTCAGTTAATTCGAAGGCCCAAATATTGGACCAAAGGTGGAAGAGGAAAGGTTTTTTTCCACCATAACCTTTTGGCTTGTCATAAATCACTAGACCCTAATATCTTACTTAGTAAAATAGAGGGAAATATCACATTCCCTCGCAAACAACTTCCCAGGACAGATGTGACAAGTAGTTGGCTCTGAATTTTGTGTTTATGAATTACATACTTAAGGAATTTTCAAACATATGCTTTTTAATTGTAGGAAGTGACTTCTTGTTACATCTTCTAGTCATTAAATTCTAGAAGAGATCAATGTGACTTGGAGGAATGAGCATTGAATTTGGAATGAAAAGATCATAATTTGAGTCTGGTTCTACAACATCATACCTATTTGACCTCTTTGAGTTCCATTAGATTCACCTTATGAAATTGCCAATAGTGGCCAGGTGCAGCAGCCCACGCCTGTAATCCCAGCACTTTGGGAGGCCAAGGTGGGCAGATCACCTGAGATAAGGAGTTTGAGACCAAGATCAGCCTGACCAACATGGTGAAACCATATTGTATACTAAAAATACAAAAAAAAAAAAAAAAAATGCCAGATGTTGTGCTGCATGCCTGTAATCCCAGCTACTTGGGAGGCTGAGGCAGAAGAATCACTTGAACCTGGGAGGTGAAGGTTGCAGTGAGCCGAAATCACACCACTGCACTCCAGCCTGGGCAACAAAGCAAGACTCTATCTGGGGGGAATAAAAAAAAAGGGAAATTACCAATAGTTATCTGGTTTTGATCTACAAAAATGGTGGCAATTTTGTATGATTTAACCTAATAATTTCTTTATTAAATTAGGGCTTAAATTAGATGATGATGTAGATGTTGGTGTTCTATAAATTCTAAAGCTCTTTACTATATATGTAGAAAAAATTTATTTTTCTTTTAGGCTAATAAATGTAGAATAAAATTAGTACATTAGGTACTGTATTGGAGTCCAGTAACAATTGTTTTTGCATTATGTACTGTTTTGGATTCTGTCCTATACCTTTGTACATGTTGATGTCATGTAAAAACAGTTTGAGGGCTTTGGAATAAAGGCACTACAGAAATACAAGAAAATTAAATTGTTTTTCTGGACCAGATGTATTACCTGAGATACTTTTAAATATCTGTAGTCCACTGGACAACTTACTCTAAATAAGGATTAATGAATTTTGTATTTTTTTATATAGGAAAATAACAGCTCTGACTGGTATAAAAATAATACAAGTTTCCTGTGGACATTACCACTCCCTGGCATTATCAAAAGGTAAGAAACACTTTTTAGATCTGAGTGTGATTAGGAAGTAATTTTTTGAATAGGAATTATAGCTATTGATTTTTAATGCACTGGGGCTCATTTAGAAGTTTTTCACTCTCCAGGTTTCATAAGATATATTGTTTTTCTATTTTTTCTCGAATTTCTTGGTCCTTATTATACTCTAGAAAGTCCCTAATTCATGATGCCATAAGGGACTGTCTCTGGTTATTTGACCTAACTGGCCAACTCTCTCAGCTTATAGTGGCTTTATTTCCAGCCCCTTGCTCTTTATGTTAAATGAAGAGCACGCTGGCAAACCCAGACAGACTAAGGACAATTCATCTGTTTCGCTTAGATCGATGAAAAAGAAGTCAAGGTGTCAAAATCATGACTCTATATTTTTTGTTTTTTAATTTGTACTTATTTATCTTTATTGACACATAATAATTGTACATCTACACTCTACCAACCTCCACCCTCCATTGTCCATCCTTAATTCAAATTTCTCAATGGAAAGTCTGAAGGAGGGAAAATTTTTTCTCTGCCCTTTTACATGTAGTATTTGGGAACATGCAAATTAAATGAACAGAAACAGATTAACAGAGAAAAGGCACCCAATTTTTATTTATTATTTTTTCTTTTTTCAGACAGAGTCTCGCTGTGTCACCCAGGCTGGAGTGCAGTGGCACCATCTTGGCTCACTGCAACCTCCACCTCCCAGGTTCGAGCGATTCTCCTACCTCAGCCTCCCAAGTAGCTGGGACTATAGGCATGCACTACCACACTCTACTAATTTTTGTATTTTTAGTAGAGTCGGGGTTCCCCTATGTTGTCCAGGCTCGTCTCAAACTCCTGACCTCAAGCCACCTAAGCCTCCCAAAGTGCTGGGATTTCAGGCGTGAGCCACTATGCCCAGCCCCCAATTTTTATCAATATTTTTGTGCACAACAGTTTACAGAAAGGAAGTGAAACTAAAAGTAGTGGTTAGACTTGGGTAGTTACATACTGTTTTAACAAAGAAAAGGGAGTTTGGGCTTCAAGGGACAATACCTTGTAGGAAAGTGACTAGGAAATACATAGGGAAAGCAATGGAAGATAAGGGATATTTTGGTAAATTTGTTTATGCAGACTCATCTCAGTGCTGCTTCATCGTCTTCAGTCATAAAGTTACTCTTCTCTCCCTGGTACAGTAGAGTGGAGATACCTCCACAAGGGGAAACTTATGCCCTGCTTTTAGGCAGATAAGAGAAGGGCGGAAACCTCTCCTTACATCTGTTAACTCTCAATTGCCTTCAACTCGAAACAATTCTTATGCCAAAGTAGCATATTTTGGTGTGGCATATCCTGATCCCCTTCAAGGGACTGTAACATTTGTATGTTCCTCAGGTGATGTCCTATGTATCATTGCAACTGTGCCAGGGTCTATGGACACCTAATATTTATCGGTTACCAGCTGTCCATTTATTGGACACCTAACATTTATTGGACGGGCATGGTTGCTCACTCCCAGCATTTTGGGAGGCCAAGGCGGGTGAATCACGAGGTCAGGAGTTCGAGACCAGCCTGGCCAACATGGTGAAACCTTATCTCTACTAAAAATACACACACACACACACACACACACACACACACACACACACAGAAAAAATAGCTGGGCATGGTGGCAGCGCCTGTAATCTCAGCAACTTGGGAGGCTGCTGCAGGAGAATCACTTGAACCCGGGAGGCAGAGGTTGCAGTGAGCCGAGATTGCACCACTGCATTCCAGCCTTGGCAACAGAGAGAGACTCCATCTCATAAAAAAAAGAGAGTAAGAGGACAGAGAGTGAGTACCTGGGTGGAGAGAAGGGGCCTTTCTATTTTATAAGGTGGTCAGGGCAGATATCTCTTATAAGGTGACATATGAGCAGAGACCATATGAAAAGGGAGGGAGAAAGTTGAGATGCTACCCATGAAAGAATGATCCAGACACAAAGGCCATGAGATCAGGGCGTGCTCTGAAATGTACTCCCGGAACAGCAAAGGGTCTGGAGAGGAGTGAGTAGGGGGAGATGAAGTCTGGGAAGTGGGGGTGAGCCAGACTGGTGATGTGGGGCCTGTGATGGGACTCAGTCCTTCATTGAGTGAGATAGCAAGCTCCTGAAGTACTTGATTGGACATATGTATATATGTATGTATTTTAAATTGTATTTTAGGTTTTGGGGTACATTTGAAGAACATGCAAGATAGTTGCATAGGTACACACATGGCAGTGTGATTTGCTGCCTTCCTCCCCTTCACCTATATCTGGTATTTCTCCCCATGCTATCTTTCCCCAACTCCCCACCCCTGGACTTATATTTTTAAAAGGATCACTCTGGCTACTCTTTGGAGAACAAACTGCTGGGGGCAAAGATTGCCTTGGGGAGATTAGTGAGGTGCTATTGTCATTTTCAAGGAGAGAAATGTTGGTGACTTAGCTAAGGTGGTAGCAGTGGAGAGATGAGAAATGGTTGAATTCTGGATAGATTTTGAAGGCAGAAGTTTCGAATTTGCTGGGTTGAAGAGTATAAAAGAGAAGAGTTAAGGATGACTCTAAGATTTTTGGCCTGAGCAGTTGAAAGAACACAGTTGCCCTTAATTGGGAGGGAGAATAGTGGACATTGTTTGAAGGGACATTTGAAGGTGACATTGACCACCCCACTTGCCTTTATTTGGAATACTTTAATCTCATTTTTTTTTCTCTATCTCTCTTTTACTGTGTAAAGGTTTGTAACATTGAATAGAAATAGAAGGAAATCCTACCATGTGCATCTTGGAGACATCATACTAAGTAAAATAAACCAGACAGAGAAAGACAAATACTGCACGGTCTCACTTAGATGTGGTATCTAAGAAAGTCAAATTCAATAAAATCAGAGAGTAGAAAGGTAGTTGCCAGGGCCTGGGTGCTTGGGGAAATGGGAAGATGTGGGTCAAAGGGTACAAACTTTCAGCTATAAGGTGAATACGTTTTTAATGTACAGCCATGTGACTATAGTTGATAATCGTGCATTGTATACTGGAAGTTTGCTAAGAGGGTAGCTCTTAAGTATTCTCACCACACACATACACACAAAAGTAACTGTGTGAGGTGATGGGTATGTTAATTAGCTCATTGTGACAATCATTTGACAGTGTTTATGTATTTCAGCACATCACATTATATACCTTAAGTATATAAAATTTTTATTTGTCAATTATACCTCAATAAAGCCACAAAAAAGATTTATAGAATTAGTAGTTTCTATTTGAATTTATTATTCTAATATGTATACAATTCTTAATTTCTCTTCTTTGTCTTTGTAGATAGCCAAGTGTTTTCATGGGGAAAGAACAGCCACGGGCAGCTGGGCCTAGGGAAGGAGTTCCCCTCCCAAGCCAGCCCTCAGAGGGTGAGGTCCCTGGAGGGGATCCCGCTGGCTCAGGTGGCTGCTGGAGGGGCTCACAGCTTTGCCCTATCTCTCTGTGGGACTTCGTTTGGCTGGGGAAGTAACAGTTCAGGGCAGCTGGCCCTTAGTGGGCATAATGTCCAAGGTAAGGAGATAGTCTTGTTTGTGCAATAAATCATTCTTTCTTTCCAGGTGGAAGACCAACTTGGCAAAGGGCAGTATCAATGGTTAAAACAGTGGTTCCCAAACTTGTGACACATTAGAATAGCCTAGGGAGCTATATTACTTTCTTGTTGCTGCGGTAACAAATCATCTCAAACCTAGCAGCCTAAAACAACACAAATGTATTATCTTACAGTTCTGGAGGTCAGAATTCTGGCAGGTCTCACTGGGCTAATGTCAAGGTGTTAGCAGGTGCCTGCCTCTACAGGCTCTAGGGGAGAATCCACTTTCATGCCTTCTGCAGCTTCTAGAGGCCACCTGCATTAATTGACTCAGAGACCTCTTTCTTCTTCAAAGCTAGCAATGGCTGATCAAGTCTTTCTCAAGTCTTGTTACTTTCACATACACTCTTCTGCCTCTCTCTTCCTCAGTTAAAAGACCCTTGTGATTACAGTGTGCTCACCTGGATAATCCAGCAGAATCTTGCTTGTGTTAAGGTCAACTGATTAGCAACTTTAGTTCCATCTGTTTCCATAACTTCCCTTTGCCACGTAACTTAACATATTTACAGGCTCCAGGATGAGGAAGTGGGGGACCATTATTCTTTGGGAGGCCATTATTCTGCCTACTGTGGGATCCTTTAAAAACCTCAATGCCCAGGTCAGACCCCATACCTATTAGAGTATCAGTTGTCATTAGCGACTTCACAGGTGATTCCAATGTGAAGCAAAGTTTAGAAATTTCTGGATTGGGAGACTGCTAACATTAGGTGAAACAACCAGTTCCTCTAGACAAAAGAAAACTTCTGTAAACAACCAGTTCCTCCTAACACAAAACTCATCAGGATGTGCTCCCCGCAAACTCAATCCTCTTCTATTCAATTCCTTACATTCAGCTAACATATAGTTAGCACCTAACCTGTGTCAGTCCCATGCTGAGCACTTATACCTTGTTTCACTTCACCATTTCAGCATTAATTAAGTTTTTCTTTCCTTTCCTTTTTCTTTCCCTCCCCTCCCCTCCTTTCCTCACCCTTCTCCTCCCTTTCCCTTTCCTCCCCTGCCCTGCCTTCCCCTCCCCTCCTCTTCTCCTCCCCTTCCCTCCTCTTCCCCTCCTCTCTTCTCCCCTTCCCCCCTCCCCTTCCCTCCCCTCCCCTAGCCTCTTTTCCTTTCCCTCCTCTCCTCTTTTCTTTTCTTTTTTTTTCTGTCCTTTTCTTCAGATAGGATGTTGCTCAGCTGCCCAGGCTGGAGTGCAGTGGAATGATCTCAACTCACTGCAATCTCAGCCCCCTGGGTAGTTCAGACCACAGGCACACGCCACCACACCCAGCTATTGTTTTGTATTTTTTGTAGAGATGGGGTTTCACCATGTTGCCCAGGCTGGTTTTGAACTCCTGCGCTCAAGCAATCCACATGCCTCAACCTCCCAAAGTGCTGGGATTACAAGCATGAGACACCCATGCCTAGCCAGCTTTTCTTATCATCTCAATTTTTATAATATATTTGCAGAGCACCTATCATGTGACAGAAATATGTCAAAATGGTCAGAATCAATATGGAGTCACTTATTTCAAACCCTAATAAAATGGAGTTGGAGGGGAGGGGTCATGAAGGGAGGATCCTCACACAGATCCACCTGATAGTAACTATCCCAGAGGACTCTACCAAAACCACAACCTTGCAGCTAAGACCACTTCTATGGGACATCTTTCCAGTAACAGTGTTTCCTAACTGCAGCCTTGCAAGTATTCCTTACTAAATGGCAACCTTGCAGTCAGGGTGGATTCTGTGAAGACCCTCTTCTAGCAATGGCCAGTACACATGTTACTGCCTGAAATCAGTCCTTGTAACCAATGAACTTCTGTTTCAAAATAACCTGCACGTACTTTAAAACTCCCCCTTGCCTCAGCCTTCCCAGCTATGCCCATGGCCTGCTATGGCATGCATATCCTGGATTGTAATCCCGTTGTCATTCATTCCAAATAAACTTTTTAGAGAGCCTCTCTGTTGTTATTTTAGGTTGACAAATTAATACAACACGATGGCAGTAGTATCAGGCATGAGGGTCTTGAAGCTTAGCTTTCTAGGTCAATAGACCTAGAAGATTCCAGAAGATTAGATAGCTTCCAGAAACAAATGTTAAAGGAGCATTTCTTTTTTTCCTTCCCAAGGTACGGTATTTCCTCTGTTTTATACTTAGAATTGTTTACTTTTAAAATTATGTTATGAATTTTAAGAATAATAAAAGATATCACTTACATAAAAATATAAAAAGGTATTAAATATATAGTCATGAAATCTGCAAACTATGTTAGTGAATTATAAGAGTAAAAAAAGATATCTTTTATGTAAAAATATGAAATATAAAAAGGTATTAAAATGTAAATACTCATGAAATCTGAGTCTGTTTCTTATACTCTAGAAATTCTGCTGTTTCAACAGTGCAAAGCAACAAGCCTCTCTCAATTGGTGCACTGAAGAATCTAGGTGTGATTTATATCAGCTGTGGTGATAAGCACACTGCCGTGCTTAGCCAGGTAATCCAAAATGTGTTGCTATGTTTTTAAGTTCCAGAGAAATGTTAACAAGGTACATGTACTAATTATTGTTGAAAGCCAGAGATGTTAGCCCATTTGGGCCACTGTAACAACATACCACAAAAAGAGTGGCTCGTAAACAACAGAAATCTATTTCTCATAGTTCCGGAGGCTAGGAAGTCCAAAATCAAGGTGCCAGCAAATTTGATGTCTGATGAGGGCCAAACTTCTCATTCATAGATGCCATATTTTCACTGTGTCCTCACATAGTGAAAGGGGTGAGGAGTCCCACCTGGGCCTTTTTAGTGAGGGCACTAATCCCATTCATGAGGGTTCTGCCTTCATGACCTAATCATCCATCAAAGGCCCCTCCTCCTAATATCATGGCATTGAGGGTTAGAATTTCAACATAAGAATTCTGGGGTGACACAAACATTCAGACTGTAGCATAAGATATGTATACCAAAATCTAGACATAGCCATTCAGTGTACACATACCTAAAGAGGAGATGTGAACCAAATACAAATCATAAAGTTTTCAAGATTCTATAACATAAGCTAATTTCAGCTTTCGGAAGTATCTTTAGATACCTACTAAATTAGGTTAATAGCCGGGTGGGGTGACTCATGCCTGTAATCCCAGCACTTTGGGGGGCCAAGGTGGGTGGATCACGAGGTCAGGAGTTCCAGACCAGCCTGGCCAACACAGTAAAACCTCGTCTCTACTAAAAATACAAAAATTAGCCAGGTGTGATGGTGGGCACCTGTAGCCACGGGCACCTGTAGCCCCAGACACTTGGGAGGCTGAGGCAGGAGAATTGCTTGAACCTGGGAGGTGGAGGTTGCAGTGAACCGAGATTACACCACTGCACTCCAGCCTGGGCAACAGAGCCAGACTCTGTCTCAAAAAAAAAAAAAAAAAAAAAAAAAGGTTAATACAAAAACTAATTCCTTTAGCAATTATTCTTTTTTTTTTTTTTTTTTGAGACGAAGTCTCGCTCTGTTGCCCAGGCTAGAGTACAGTGGCTCGATCTCAGCTCACTGCAACCTCCACCTCCCAGGTTCAAGCAATTCTCCTGCCTCAGCCTCCCAAGTGGCTGGGAGTACAGGTGCGCACCACCACACCTAGCTAATCTTTGTATTTTTAATAGAAACAGAGTTTCACCATGATGGCCAGGCTGGTCTCAAACTCCCGACCTCAGATGGCCCACCCACCTCAGCCTCTCAAAGTGTTGGGATTACAGGTGTGAGCCACCCTGCGCCCGGCCTTTAGCAATTATTCATTGACTAGGTGATTCTACAGATAGAAATTATTATAGAAGCAACAAAGTAATTTTTACAGTTTTCAATAACCCACTCTTCAGCTTAGAACATACTTCATTTCATTTCTTGCTTGGCATAATTACGACCCACCTTGTCCTCGCCATACAATCTATTCCAAAGGGATGGATTCTTTCTGGAGCCATAAAGAATAGACTTGAAAACTACTTGTGTAGTTGTAATGTTTGTTTAAAAACTATATGCCCCCAATTATTTTTATTGTTTGTTTTAAGTGCATATCTTAAATTAAAAAACCCTTGATTGTTTGGATTATATTATTCTTAGTTATAAAGAGAAAGCTAGAGTTGTTTGTAATCATAGAATCATCTTTTGGGAAGACAGTATTTTCAGGAAAATGCTCTAATAAATTCAATCTCATTCTTAAATGTTGGGTTTATTCTTGAACCAGTTAATTTGTCCATCTATTCATTTAATAAAGACTTATTAAGTACTTAGTTATTTCTTTTTCCAGCTTTATTATGGTATAATTGGCAAAAATTATATATGTTTATGCTGTACAACATGGTGTTTTGATACGTGTGTACATTGTGATTACCACAATCAAGCTAGTTAACATATACATCAGTTCACATAGTCATCTTTTTTTGTGGTTAGAATCGTCAAGATCTACTCTCTCAGTAATTTTCTTTTCTTTTTTTTAAATTTAAAAATTTTTTTTTCTTTTTTTAACTTTTTTAAATTAAAAAAAAATTTTTTTTTTTTGTAAACATGGGGTTTCACCATGTTGGTCAGGCTGGTCTTGAACTCCCGACCTCAGGTGATCCACCTGCCTTGGCCTCCAAAGTGCTTGGATTATAGGCGTGAGCCACCATGCCTGGCCTTCTCTCAGTAATTTTCATATATGAAATACATTATTAACTATAGTCGCCATGCTGTACAATACGTCACCAAGGTGTCTAGTTTTTAAGGAAATGCTAATGATTAAAAAAAAATCATGTAGAGTTGTGGTCTTGCTATTTGGGCCAGGCTAGTCTCAAACTCCTGGCCTCAAGCACTCTTCCTGCCATAGCCTTCCAGAGTGCTGGGATTACGGGTGTGAGCTACTGTGCCTGACACCAGTGATTTTTCATGTTTAATGTGTTAACTTGACATAACACTATTAGAAAGAATAAAGGATCTTTCCTATTTATGTAGACCTTGTGTTTCACAGAGTGCTCCCATGTTAATTCTCGTATGATACTTAATCAGTAAGCTTTTAGTTACCGTTTTTAAACCTGAAATTAATTTGGTTCTTTCTTTCCTAAACAGGATGGGAAAGTGTTCACATTTGGAGACAATAGTTCTGGGCAGCTGGGATACAGCCCCAATCCTGAGAAGAGAGGTCCGCAACTTGTGGAAAGAATTCATGGTCTAGTTTCACAGATAGATTGTGGAGGGTAATAGGCTTCTTCTTTTTTTTTTCTCTGCATGTGTAGAAAGTGTTATATTTTATTACTTAGAAATGACCCATATGGAATGTTATCAAATCTTAAAACCCAAAATATGTGGCTGCTCTTTTTATAGAGCATTTTCCTGCCTGAAAATTTACTTGTTTCAAATATAGTTTAATTTTTCTGTTTTTTGCCTTTATTCTAGATATTTTATTTATTTAATAAGAAATAGTTGGTTCTACTAATTTATTTCTTATTAAATAAGAAATAGTTATACTGTGTATAGAACACCTTACCAGATGCTGGAGGATGGGAAGTAGGTTGATAAAAATAGCAGAGCTTTCCTGCTTAAGTTGATGAGACAAAATTAAATTAATGTAATCTCATGTGCAGAAGATGATGTATGTTTGCATATATATTCAGAGTTCTGCATAACCTAATTATAAGGACACTTTGAGTGCTTAAATATCTACCCAATGCATAATATATCTATCTATCTATCTATCTATCTATCTATCATACATAGAAATGCCTGCGATTAAAATGCAAATGATAGAAACCATAGTAAAGACGCATCAATAACATTCTATTTTTAAGATTAGTAGTAAGTTAATATTGACTCACCATCTGTGTAGGCACATCCTTTGATGGCCTCTAATACTGACATTGTGATAAGAGAACTGGGTACTTAATAAAAGTAAACTGTTTTCTGTGTTTGTTATTTTGTGTTAAGGGACATCATCTTTCTCAAAAGCCATGAGTGCCTCAGTCTTCATTATGGTATATTCTCTCTTCTCTAGTGATCACACCGTTGCATATGTGCACACCACTGGTCAGGTGGTATCTTTTGGTCATGGACCAAGTGACACAAGCAAGCCAACTCATCCAGAGGCCCTGAAAGAGAACTTTGACATTAGATGCTTGATTTCTGCTGATGGTATGAGTCCCACTAATTCATGATTTTTGTTCATCAGTGCCACTGGAGGAAAACTAGTATTCAGCTTCCTTTCAAAGGATCCCACAGAACTGTAGTTCCCCTAGTACTTTTATTTTATATATGTACATTGTGAATTTTTTCTTATGCAGTGAATCTTAGGGTATTGGTAATCATTTATAAAGATTAAGGTCAGTTCAAGACCAGCCTGGCCAACATGGTGAAACCCATCTCTACTAAAAACACAAATATTACCCTGGTGTGGTGGTGCAAGCCTGTAATCCCAGCTACTCGGGAAACTGAAGTGGGAGAACCACTTGAACCCAGGAGATAGAGGTTGCACTGAGCTGATGTCATCCAGCCTGAGCAACAGGTCAAGACTCCATCTCAATAAATGAATGAATGAATTAATTAATTAATTAAAGAAGATTAAGATAATACAGAATAAGATCCTAACTTGATTACTTATGCATCAGAACAATACACTTTTTTTTCCCCACAAAATGAAAGCAAGTTTATTGAGAAAGTAAAGAAGCAACCAGAACAATATACTTTTATATATTTAATCAAATCTCTTCTAAAGCATGGCCACCTGGCTGCATTATGCAAGTGCATGAAAACCTAAATTTTGGACTAAGTGAATATATGACATGTAATCTGATCAAAAGTGATCTTTCATTTCAATATGATGGGGGAAAGAAAAATAAAAAATTGTTCTTTTATGTGTTTGTAGTCAAAATCCATTTAGGAGAACATAAATTGCTGGTAAGTGAGTATATTTGGCTTGATGTATTTATCATATTTATTTTTTATTTCTAAAAACTCTAAGCATGGATTTATGACTTTCTTTTAGACCTCGTGGATGTTCAAGTCAAACACATTTTTGCTGGAAAATATGCCAACTTTGTGACAACTCATCAGGTATCTATTATATTTTTTGTTCCTTTAAAAAATTTTTTTTCAAGATTTCACAGCAGTATTTGAAATACTGTATTATTCATATATATTCAGGTGTTTTCCTAAAAAATTAAGGTCCTGTATTCAAATGCTTATGAAAAAATATTACATAATTCTCACTTCCTTATTTGCCAGCGTTCCTAACAGATTAGACCCCACCACCACCATTTCAGATTTCTTTTTTCTTTATTGGCAAGCGTGTATATTGAATTTGCATCATGTAAATGCGCATACAGATGTAACTTGTATCAACAACAGCTGTTTCCATTTTCATGAGGGAACTGAATTTTTCCTGTCCAGAACTGTCAAGGAAGGGTTTCTGAGATGTCCTGCAGGGAATGCCTCCTTGAGTGGAAGGATGGCCATGTGTGCGAGTTTATAGGGGTGTGTGTGGCAGGGGTGGTGTGCAGCGTCTCAGCTGTCCTCTGTTGCAACGGTTGCATCATTGAGTCCCCAACTCAAGTTTATTGCTTAATAAAATTAATGATGATAAATAACAGTAATAACTAATTTTAACTGTAGTCATCATGTGTCGGCACCAAAGTCCTTCAAATAGATCAAAATGTTTAATGCTCATATCACCTCTCACTGACATTATTTTTCACATTTTACAGATGAAAAAAACTGAGCCTCCAAGAGGTGACTTTATTCAAAGTTGTACTGGTAGTAAGTGGTAGAGCTGGATTCAGATCCAGGCAGTCCAACCCAATAGCTTACACCACCATCTACCAAGCTTGGTGCCTTCCTAAGTGTTAATAGGGGGGATTTTATTGTTACATTTCTGGGTGAGTTTGCAAGTATCTTTGTGGAAAAAAAAAGCCTTCATAGTTATTTTTCTAATTTGTGCTTTTTCCTGTTATCAGGAATGTTTTAAACTTGACATTTAGAACTTGACATTTAAAACATTCTGATAACAGGAAAAAGTACAAATTAGGAACATAAGAGTCCCTGGCACAGAAGGTGGTCAGAGGCAAAGGTTTCTGTACTGCTGGGACAGTTAGGAGACTATACTTTGGTTGCTCTATCATAGCCATTCAATCAGCCACTCAACAAAAATTGAGAGCCTTTTATATATCAGGCTCTGCTCTTGGTGCCTGGGACAAAAGTGAATAAATCATACAGACAAGGTTGCCCTCATTCATAGTATTTGGACTCTACAGTTAAGGCTGGACCATAAATATGTAAATGCAAAATAAATAAGATTGTATTAGAGGCCGGATGTGGTGGCTCATGCCTGTAATCCCAGCAATTTGGGAGGCCAGGGCAGGTGGATCACTTGAGGTCAGTAGTACAAGACCAGTCTGGCCAACAAGGTGAAACCCCATCTCTAGTAAAAATACAAAAACTAGCCAGGCATAGTGGCACGAGCCTGTAATCCCAGCTACTCGGGACGTTGAGGGAGAATTGCTTGAACCCAGGAGGTGGAGGTTGCAGTGAGCTGAGATTGCACCACTGTATTCCAGCTTGGGGCACAGAGGAAGACTCCATCTCAAAAAATATTATGTTAGACGGTGACAAGTACTCTGAAGAAAACACATCGATCGTTTGAGATTGTTGTGGTGGGCTTCTTTAGAAATGTCTGTCAGGAAAGGCCTTGTAGAGGTTGTGACCATTGAACAGAGATTTTAGCCATGCTTTGGTCCAGAAAACAATGCACAGAGCAGAGGGAACGGCACAGAGCAGAGGGAACGGCACACAGAAAGGCTGTGAGGCAAGAATGAGTTTGGTGTGTGTGACAGAAGGCCAGTGAGGGAGAACCGTAGCAAGAAAGGACAAGGAGCTCTACGAGATGGAGCCAGTTCTGTGAGATGGGGCCAGCTATGTGAGGGGACCCACCTGAAATGTGTTTGAAAAGGAGACCTAGAGACTGAGCTGGGTATCTGAATTTGGGGCTCAGGGAGGATGCTGGCAGTGGAATACAAACACAGCAGTTATCAACCCACAGATGGGATGTAAAGCCAGGGACCTGGATGAAAGCTCACCTAGAGAGAGAGTGAAAATGAGAAGAGAAGGGGGACAAAATTCCTCTAATGAGGAACTTCTCCATGAGAGGTTAGACAGTGGAGGAGGAACCAGAAAAAAAGATTGAGAAGGACCAGTTTCTGAAGAAGGGAAAATCAGGAGGGGCTGGCCACACAAGCCAAGAGAGAAAGCACCTGTAACGGAGGTCCTCTCGTGTGTGTGTGTGTGTGTGTGTGTGTGTGTGTGTGTGTGTGTGTGTGGAGACAGGGTCTCACTCTGTTACCCAAGCTGGAATCTTGGCTCACTGCAGCCTCAGATTCCTAGGCTTAAGCCATCCTCCCACCTCAGCCTCCCAAGTAGCTAGGGTGCACACCACAATACCCAGCTAACTTTTGTATTTTTTTTTGTAGAGACGGGGTTTTGCCATGTTTCTCAGGCTGGTCTTGAACTCCTGAGCTCAAGTGATCCGCCCACCTTGGCCTGAAAAAGTACTGGGGTTACAGGTGTGCACCACCGCACCTGGCTCTCAGTAGTACTTCTTATTTACGGTTTTGCTTGTCACAGTTTCAGACCCACATTCAACTGTGATCCAAAAATATCAAATGGAAAATTCAGAAATAACTCATAAGTTTTAAATCACATCTTCTGGATGGTGTGATAAAATCCACGCTTCATCACAAGAAGTAGGGTAAATACAGTATAATAAGCTATTTTGAGAAAGAGAGAGGGGTACCACATTTACATAAGTTTTATCACAGTAAATTGTTATAATTATTTCATTTGATTATTAGTTATTGGTATTAATCTATTACTGTGCTTAATTTATACATTAAACTTGATCATATGTATGGATGAATAGGAAAAACATATGGAGTTTGGTACTATTTATAGTTTCAGGCATCCACTGGGGGTCTTGGTGGAACACATCCCCCATGGATAAGGGGGGACTGCTATATTTCCAGGAGAAAGTGGCCAATTCTGTCAAATACAGCTGAGTGGTCAAGTAAGAGGCACGCACAGTTTTTTTTTGCTTTGGTAAGATTGTGTTATTGCAGAGAGAAGAGGAGGAGACCTGACGCGAGTGGGCTGGACAGACAGTAGAAGGGGAATAAATGCAAACAATGCCTGTGACAACCCCTAGAAATTTTGCTGTGAAGGGGAGTAGAGAACCATGGGAGGGGCTCTGATGCTGCATAAGAGTGCATAATTGTAGAAGCAATGTCTGACAGTAGGAGAGAGGAAGCAGAATCTACTGCATAATTGAAGGGTTTGAACAGATATATCTATTATGCTGTAATAAGGAACGGTACAGGTGAAGGTAGGTTGATGGTGGGAAGGTGATTTGTTCTTGCTTAACAACTTCAATTTTCAGTGATGCCTGAGGCAAGGTCCCCATCTGAGCATGAGCAAGCAGAGGAGCGTGAAAGGTTTAGGAATAAAAGGAAGGGTTGCGATAGCTGTCTTAGAGAGGGAAAAAGCAGTTAGCTTTGGAATTGATTAGAGAGTATCAGGTGCCCATTTGAAACCTGTGGTCACAGACTTAAAGTGAAATCAGTCTGCACAGTTGTGCAGCTTTCTCCGGTGATGTTAGGCTGCTTCAGTTGGATTTTGGAGTAATCCAGAGTCAAGTTTGATTACAGGCAGAATTTTGCTAGTTAAGTACAATAGGAAATGGACAAAAGAGTTACAGGTGTGATTATAGTGATGAACCATGGAATCTAAGCTGGGTAAGGAAGATGAAGGAGGGTGATGTATCGTGGACAAACCGCAGGGCTAATGGACTGGAGATTCCGGTACACACAAGAATCTTGGACTGCGGATTTTGCTCTAAAGGAGGTGAATCTGAAAGATGGTGTATGACAGTCAGAGAAGAGAATATTTCCAGTAGAAATTTAGAAGATGTAACAATTCATGATTTAAAACCCAGCTTCTCAACTATAGGGCAGTGGTTTTCAACTAGGGGTGATTTTGTGCTCCAGGAAACATTTGGCAACGTCTCAAGACACTGTAGTTTGTCATAACTAGGGAAGAGCATGGCATTGGAAGTGGTTGCTACTGGTATCTGGTAGGCAGAGGCTGGAATGATGCCACGAAACACCCTATGACACACAGGACAGCTGCTCACAGCAAAGAGTCATCTGACCCAAAATATCAATAGTGTCAGTTTAGAAACCCTGATCCAGGGCATGTGTGGCTGGAATGGAGCAGAGGAAGAGTGGAGATAATTAAGAATTAAGAGATGAAGGTGGGAGATAGATAATGTTCATCAATTCTGAAGTTACCAAGAGTGAGGGCAGGAAGGGTGACCATGGGAATCATGGTATGAGGAAGACAGTCAGCAAGGTGCCGAATCTTTCGATGAACAAAAGGGAGTGACCAGGACATTGGGGGAAGATTACAAAAGAGGAGGAAGCAGATGACATAGTCTCATGCCACGTATTTGGAAGGAGCCAGGGATTTTGAAGCTGCAATAAAGAAATGGTATGTAAGTGCCAAGAGGGAGCACCTTATTGTCCCAAGTTTCCTGGGATGTGGGAAGAAAAAAATCTCTTCCTCTTGATCAAACTACAGGGAAAGCCCAGGACTCAGATCAAGAAGCTGAAGGGAAATTTAAGAGCCAGGGTTACCTGTCTTTTTCAAGAGGTCTTTTGTTTCAGCATTAAACCAAAACGATGCATAATTTCGTGGCTCATAACAAGTGCAGTGGAGGCATAGGTATAACTTATAGCAGAGCACTAATGCCTCTGGAAGACTATATTGAAGATGGATTTTTCTTTCCAGACAGTGATTTTTGAAACCTCTGGCTGGGCTATTTGGTCTCAAGTATTATATAGAAGGATAGTTCTCAAAGTGTGGTCCCCAAACCAGCAGCATCAGCATGACTGGAGAATTTGTTAGATGCAAATTCTTGTGCTCAACCCTGACCCATGAAATCAGAAACTATGGGGTGGAGCCCAGCAATCTGCTTTAACAAGCCCACCAGAATCTCCCACCAGGTGATTTGTATGCACATTACAATTTGAGAGTTACTGATATAAAAATAAATACTTGTGGGTGATTAAAGGGAACAATGAAATTAATTATTGAGTGCCTACTATAATCTCAAAGCTTTGTATGCACACTATAATTTCATCTTAACAGGAACCCAGAGAGGTAGGTATTATTATCTCTTTTTATTTATTGTGATAAAATATATATAAATACAATTTGCCATTTTAATCATTTTAAGTATATGATTCAGTGACATTAATTACTTTCACAGTATTATACAACTTTCACCACTATCCACCTCTAAGACTTTTTCATCACCCCAAGCAGAAATTCTCTAACTATGAAAAAATAACTCCCCATACCCCGTCTGCCCCCAGCTTCAGGCAATCTTGAATCTACCTTCTGTCTTTATGAATTTGCCTATTCTAGAAACTTCATACAAGTGGAATCATACAATATTTGTTATTTTGCATTTGGCTTATTTTACTCACTTGTCTTCAAAATTCATCCACATTGTGGTTTTTCGTTTGTTTGCTTGTTTTGTTTTGAGGCAGAGTTTCACTCTTGTTGCCCAGGCTGGAATGCAATGGTATGCTCTCGTCTCACTGCAACCTCCACCTCCCAGGCTCAAGTGGCCTGCCTCAGCCTCCCGAGTAGCTGGGATTACAGGCACCTGCCAC